TTTCCTGCCATCTACTCTTCTTAGGTGTGTTTGCTTCTTTTTGTTCTAGAGCTTTTAAGTGTGCTGCTAAGTTGCTAGTATGACATTGCTCCAATTTCTTTATGAAAGCACTCAGGCTTTCAACTTTCCTCTTAGCACTGCTTTCATTGTGTCCCAAAAGTTTGGGTATGTTGTGCATTCATCTTCACTGAATTCTAGGAAGTCTTTAATTTCTTTTTTTTCATTTCTGCCTTGACCCAGTAGTCATTCTGGAGGGAGTTGTTCAGTTTCCATGAGCTTGTAGGTTTTCTGTTATTTATGTTATTGAAATCCATCTTTAATCCATGATGGTCTGATAGGATGCCAGGGGTTATTTTAATTTTCTTGTATCTGTTGAGATTTGCCTTGTAACTGAATATGTGGTCAGTTTTGAAGAATCCATGAGAAGTGTACTTTTTGCTTGGGGGTGAAGTGTTCTGTAGATATCTGTTAGGTCCATTTGGTTCATAACATCTATCTGTTCCAGTATTTCTCTGTTTAGTTTGTCTGGATGATGTGCCCATTGGTGAGAGTGAGATATTGAAGTCAATGTGTGAGGGCAGACATGTGATTTAATCTTTCATAGTATTTCCTTTACAAATATGGGTGCCCTTGCATTTGGGGCATAGATGTTAAGAACTGAAAGATCATCTTTTGGATTTTTCCTTTAATGATTATGGAGTTTCCTTCCCTGTCTCTTTTAATTAGTTTTGGTTTGAAGTCTATATTGTTAGATCTTAGAATAGCTACAGCAGCTTGTTTCTTAGGCCTACGTTGCTTGGAAAATGTTTTTCTATCCCTTTACTCTGAAGTAACGTCTCTCTTTGATGTTGAGGTGTGTTTTTTGTTTGCAGCTGAAGGATGGATCCTGTTTTTGAATCCATTCTGTTTGTGTCTCTTTGTTGGATAATTGAGTCCACTGATATTGAGAGAGAGCAATGACCAATGATTGTTAATTCTGGTTATTTTGTTGTAGTTGGTGGTGGGGGTTTGTGTGTGTGTGTGTGTGTGTGTGTGTGTGTGTGTGTGTCCCTTCTTTGGGTTATGTTGGTGTGAGACTATTTATTTCCTACGTTTTCATGAGTATAATTAACCTCCTAGGCTGGAGTTTTCCTTCTAGTACCTTCTGTAGGACCAGATTTGTGAATAGATGTTGTTTAAATTTGACTTTATATAGAATATCTTGTTTTCTCCATCTATGGTGATTTAAAGTTTTGCTGTAATCTGAGCTAGCATCCATGGTCTCTTAGAATCTATAGTACATATGCCCAGGCCCTTCTGGCTTTTAGAATTTCTATTAAGAAGTAAGGAATAATTCTGATATGTCTGTCTTTATATGTTACTTGGTCGTTCTCCTTTGCAGCTTTTAATATTCTTTTTTTGTTCTTTATGTTTAGTGTTTTGATTATTATGTGGCAATGAGACTTTCTTTTCTGGTTTAGTCTGTTTGGTGTCCTACATGTTTCCTGTACCTTTATAGCCATGCCCTTCTTCAGGTTAGGAAAATTTTCTTGCATGATTTTGTTGAATATATTTTCTAGGCCTTTGAGCTGGGCCATCTCTTTCTATTCCTATTTTTCTTAGGTTTGGTCTTTTCATAGTGTCCCAGATTCCCTAGATGTTTTGTGTAGCAGTCTTGCAGTGAACTTGTAACGGTGGCCACACACCCCTTGGCTGTGGCCTCAGGCAGATGGAAATGGAAAGAGGGAAGCTTGAGGCATGGGTTTCCTTGGCCTGATCTTTTTGGTGGGTCAGCCAATCTGGTAAGAAGGACAGAGAAACGATCCCATGGTTCTTTGTATTTTTCTGTGTAGTTGTTCCCCAATAAACATCATTTATCTTGGGTCTAGTGAAATAAATCCTCACCTTCAGTTTTGTGTCAGGAATTTTTTATATTTAACGTTTTCTTTGAAATAGGCGTTATCTATTTCTTCTATTGTATCTTCAATGCCTGAGATTCTCTCTCTATCTCTCATATTCTGTTGCCAATGCTTGCACCTATAGTTCCTGTTCACTTACCTATTTTCCATTTCCAGAATTCCCTCAGTTTGTGTTTTCTTTATTGCTTCTATTTCCATTTTCAAGTCTTGAACAGTTTTATTAGTTTCCCTCATCTTTTTGTTTTTTTTTTTTCTCCCTTGGCTCTCTTTAAGGGATTTATTCATTTCTTCAAGTTTCTTGGTTGTGTTTTCCAGGATTTCTTTAAGAGATTTATTCCTTTCCTCCTTAAGGGCCTCTATTATCTTCATCAGGTTGGTTCTAAGGTCATTTTCTTGTGCTTCAGCTGTGTAGAAATATTCAGGGCTTGCTGTAGTAGCATAGCTGGGCTCTTGTGGTGACATATTTCCTTGGCTGCTGTTGATTATGTTGTTACACTGGCGTCTAGGCATCTGGGTTGGGGGTCATTATAGGTCTAGGTGCTGCTTTCTGAGTTTTTCTTCGTTGGATGGGTGTTTTCTTCCTTGGTTTCTGTTTCTTCTCTGGTCTTCTGGCTGGAGTGGCCTGTGGTTGAGTAGAAAGTCTCCACCAGAGTTGAGAGCTGGGCTTCTGACAGTCAAGGGGCTTCTTCTCAATCTGGGAGCTGGAGTTCTGCCTGCCGGTGTGGCCTCTGGTCCAGCCATAGGCCACTGGAGTTGGAGGCCATGATATATGGTAACAAGGAGACAAGGACAGTTGGGTATTAGCTGGAGGAGCACTGAGGGAGAGGGAGCAGGCTGCAGGCAGATGGCTTACCTGTGAGTCTGGTGGCATGCCTGGCCTCTGGTGGGACAGGGGACTTCCACAGGAGTTGTGGGTCAGGATATGGTGACAAGGAGAGGAGCAGCGCTTGGGGGTAGGTTGGGCAAGCACTGAGGGAGTGAGGGCAGTCTGCAGGCAGAAGACTTACCTGGGGTTTTGTCTAAGTTTCTTTTTAATGTAGAAAATTTCAGAGAAAGATGACAGCTGAGTTCAGTGAACACCAAGGGTGAGCCCCATATCTTCCACCATTGGCACTAACACTGTCACTTTTGTTCTGGTCATACGCTCCCACCCCCTCTCTGCTTCTGATTTTTTCAAAGCAGATTCTAGAATCATGTGATTTCATCTCTGTCTTCAGCTAGTATTTTTCCCTTACAACTTTTTGTGCAGATAGGGTCATGTAGTCAGCATTTTTGTTGCTTTTTTTTTTTTTAAATCCTATCAGTCTAAATCATTCCCTCATTTTAATGGCTGAAAACAAGTTAAGCGTCTCTATTTTGAGAACTAAGCATGCATCTTTTTGGAAGTCATCCCTAAAACTCCACCTATTGTCAAAGCAAGAGCACCTCCCATCAGCTCAACACCTCACTTTTATCTGCTAAACATTTTGAATCTATCTTCTCACTTACAGTAAGTGGAAGGGCTGACATGCTTATTTTGTTGCACATGTGAGAAATTATGGGACGGCTAAAAGGAACATGTCTGAACATGGGTCACATGAACCCATTTTCCTGGAACAATACTAGTGGGATGCTCTGACCTTCTCTATATCACACAGCACGTACTGTGTGCTTCTGGCCAGAACATTCTGAGAAGCAAAAGAGATTGTGAAGGCTATGGCCCTGCTTCTAAAGAACTTAAAGTCTAATCAGGTATATACCATGGGGGGAAATACCTGGTGCGGGGAATTTAAAACACCTGGAGGCAAGTAATCATATAGGAATAGCATCGTATGACCAGACAGTCTGTGCTGAGAGATAACCTCGGAGCCAGCAGGGGGTACACAGAAGAGAAAGCAAGTGTGAAGAGCATACAGAATGGGGGGAGAGGGAAGAGATGCTTGTTTAGCTTGCTTACTGGCCTGCTTACCTTTGAGATGATCACATCTCTGCATCTTTGGGTGAATGTAACTGTGTCAGTGGACACTTCATCGTTATCCCACTCCTCCCAGATCTCCCTTGTCTGCTTCACCTCCCTGTGGCTAACAAGATATTTCCAAGCAGCATATTGACACTTGCTCCAAAATCCAAAACTTTTGAGACTTTACATATGTTATAAGTGGAAATTTCCACATCTGATCTCACGTGTTGCATTGCAATCAAAATGGGATACACTAAAAATATTACCTAAAATTTCCTGAAAGCTGTGCATATAAGGTATATGAGAAATACAATACAATATTACATTTAGACTTAGGTACCACCCCCCAAATATCTTAATCCAAAAATAATCCAGATCTGAAATACTCCTGGTTCCCAGCATTTGGGACAGAGGGTGATCCAGAAAATTCAACATCTTGAATGAATGTCCTATGGCCCCCTCAGCAGCAACTACTTCATGTCATTATTACTAAGGACAGGGTCATTATGATTAAATGTATACAGCAGTATCCACTGTCTAAGGAATGTCATATGTAAATGTTCACTAATAAAAGAAAAGGAAGAGATGATTTATTACATGCTTTCTGCATTCTGAGACCTATCAGTTACCATAGCCATTAATATTAATCCTTACGACCACCCTAGAAGAAATAATTACAGTTTCCATCTAACAGATAAGAACACTGATCCCAGAAGGAAAATAATTTCTTTGACATCCCAAAAGTGGTAGTGCACACCAAGATTCTAACATGCCTAACTCTGCACTCTTCTGTGTATAGTGGAGGTGAAGGTCCTGCTGTAATTTTGGTGCCCTCTGCCTGCCCAACTTCTGGACACCAGTTTTTAACTTGTGTCCGGGTGACACTGAAAGATATGCATGCCCTCCAGGAGTCTCCCTTGTGACCTGGATCTCATGTGCCACAGAGTCACTGCTCAGAAGGACCCAAAAGCCAGGAGCCCCATTCTTTTCCCTTGTTTCACCTCTTCCCCAAGAAGTCATATACTATCCCTTACAGGGTTAGCTGACTGGAATGGCCTATGCCCCAATGCTGCCCAGATCTAGGCTAAAAATGGGAGTAGCAGGACATCAGCCACGCTAATTCCTGGAGGATACCTCGGGCCTAACTTGTGTGTTTCTTGCAGTTATGTTTCGTCTCTACGATTCTGATGAAAATGGACTCCTGGACCAAGCGGTAAGCTTTCACTTTCGATAAAGCCCTATGATTTGAGAAAGAGGAAGGAGAGCAGGGTGCAGTGATGGAACATCCAAACACTCCAGTTCCATCCCAACAGGAACTGCCGATCTGGCTAAGGGATGCAGATCATGAGCAAAGTCCCTGCATGCTTCTTCCAAAGAGTCAGCCTGTAGAGCATGAACTTCAATTTTCCTTCTTCTGGACCTAAAAGCCTGGAATCACACTATCTTGAGATAGGGAGACATTTTCACATTTTCATCAAATGTAACTTCCCTGTCCACAGACTTCCCTTGACGTTTCTGCTGGGACCCAGGGGTCAAGAGGAGGGGAGCAGAGAAGCAACAGGACCAGGGCAAGAGAAGAGGAAAGTTACTGGCAGGTTTCCTATCTACCCATGCTTAGGAGCCTGCCCGATCCTGTCTGTTTCGAACACTGTACCTTTACCTCAGGTACAGGAGGTGAAGGCAAGAACAGGTCAGGACCAGAGAGAGAAAGGAAGGCTAGAGAGAGAAAAGTCCAAGAAAGAAGGAAGCCCTGGATCCAAGCCTTATGGTCATGACTGAGGCCCAGACTTATAAACAGTAAGGCTCTGAGATTGAAGTATGTGGCTGCTGAAACCAGAAAAAGAAAGAAAGAAAAGAGAGAGGGAGGGAGGGAGAGATGGAGGAAAGGAGAGAGGGTCAGAGGGACAGGGGGACAGAGGAAATAAGTCCTCTAGGTCAATGAGCCATGCCAACTCTCTCTGCCCTGGTACCTTCGGGGTCTATCCAGCGCTGTTGCAATGCTGTGGGCTGTGGCCTTTGATGGGACAAGCACAGACTCTAGCAGAACACAAGCATTCATTTACTGAGGTTTACATGATGTCTGGTGCTACTCAGAGCACTGGGGATGTGTTATTGTAGCCAAATGATGAAGTTCTTTTCCCTCTTACAGCTTTCATTCTAGTCCAGGCATCATTAAACAGCATAACAGATACCTGTGGGTCTGGATATGGTGAGGCACGCCTGTCATCTCAGCACTCAGGGAGCAGAGGCAGGAGAATCATTAGTACCTGTCTCAAAATAAAAGGAGGCCGGGTGTGGCTGGGAGTATAGCTCAGTGATAGAGCATTTGCCTAGCCTAAGACTTCAATTCAGTCCCAGCATTGCAAAAGCTAAAACCCTAAGGTATAAAATACATATGTATACTTACACACATATGGGGTAGATGTCTACTAAAAATAAAGGAAGTAGGAAGCATTGGAGGGAGTTAGCACCTTCAGAACGGTTGTCAAGAAAGGCCTCCCTGGGGAAGGGACATCAGAACAAAGAACCCTCAAGGTAGAGAACACTGAGTGCAAAGATCCTGGTGCGTGCCCAGTATGCTGGAGGAGTAAGCGGAAACTGGTCTAGCTAGAGAGGAGTAAGTGGACAAATAGAGTGAAGGACCAAGGGGGCCACAGACGTTGTCCATGAGTGCAGGTGGGGCACCAAGCACTTGAGGTCTTATTGGTGATTGAAAGGATTTCCCTTAACCTCTAGAGAAATGAGGGGATATCCAAGGTCATGAACAGAAGTGACATATTTGGTTGTCTCAAGCATCACTCTAGAGACCACATCACGTACACCAGACAGAGACCCAAGGAAACGATCAGGGCACAGAACAATGGTAACCTTGGACATGATAGGAGTACTGCAGGTGTAACTGGTTCAATCCAGAATATATTTTAAAGATAATGTTAGGGGACGGAAACAAGTCTCAAAAGCACCCACTGATTGACTTCACCCCTGGCTGGTGAGGTCCCAGCTCCCATGTGAACACTCTCCATGATGAAGAAGCCACTCCTCCATAATAGCTGTCCCACTGCTGGGAATGAGCTGGACAGGGCTTCCTGCCTGCGTGCCAGGCATTCGTTTGCCAGACAACACACAGTACACTGCTATGCCCTCCTTCCCCAACCCAGGAGGGAATCAAAATAAGCTACCCTCTCATTGTCCCTTACATCCCTCTGCTTCCTGCTGCCCTCTGCTGCTAACCAGGACAAGGGAAACACAAACTACACAATGACTTGAGTGCTTAAAAGTGCCATCACACCTTACACAAAATCTCCTCCAAACCAAAGGGTCCCCATTCTACATTGTTTCTCGTTGGCTGTTTTAGATACCCACATTGGACAAACTCCAGCTTGTCAACCCGTTATTAAAACACAGCACACAATAGAACCTGCCCTTTCGTCGCTTTACATATACAGATGTGGTCGGGCCAGGGTAAAAGGGGGCCTACTTCTTCCTGAAGCTAGACCACTCTGCCTCTATTTGCACAGACCACAATGAGTCTAGTGCTGGCTTCCTAAGTCACATTATGGCATAGAATCCTGAACCCCAGTAGACTCACAAACTTTTCCACTGAAACATTGTGCCTATTTCACTGCACTCATTCATTGCCTCATCCTGTAGTTTTGCTATGGGTTATTGTTGCCCTTTGAGTAAAGTACTATTTGCAAGAGGCTGAAGGAAGAGGATCACAAGTTCATGTCCAGCATGAGATGGAAGAGGAGAAGATAGAAGGGGGAGAGAGAGAGACAGAGACAGAGAGGCATGCAGAGAGAATATATATCTGGGTCGGGGGCTGCAGAGATGACTCAGGGGTTAAGGGTGAATACTGTTCTCACAGAGGACCCAAGTTCAGTTCCTAGAACTCATGTTGGGTAGCTCACAACCACCTGTACCTGCAAGGAGGGAGGGAGGGAGGGAGGGAGGAAGGAAGGAAGGAAGGAAGGAAGGAAGGAAGGAAGGAAGGAAAGAGACAAGATTCAAGATTCCCTCTGGTTTTCAGGTCAAAGGCCAGAATGGTGGGAGGAGGGAGGAACTTGGAGTCAGTGTTCCAGGTGCTCTGTGTATCTCTGGCCTTCGCATGCTCTGTATCTACTGTCCACTGGCCTTGGTGGTCAAGACAAAAGAAAGCTGCAGCCATTGCGGGATGCCAGTGTATTGCATCAGCTTTTTCTCATTCCCTGCCCTGCCCACCAGGTTTGATTTAGAGTCTTGCTCTTATTGTGATTAAAACCAAAACAACAACAACAAACTTTGGTTTTCTCCCTTTGATATTTTCTCTCATGATATTTTCTAGGAGATGGATCAGATTGTGACCCAAATGCTGCATATTGCCCAGTATCTGGAGTGGGAGCCCACGGAGCTCAGGCCTGTGAGTTTCTATAAACACAGTCTCCTGGAGAGAACGGGGCACACCTGGGATGCGGGTGCAGTGGTTGGATGCTCGCTGTGTGGTGCCCACAGACCATCTTCCCAGCAGCTTCTTTGTGGCCCTGCATTCTGACCTCCCATTTGTCCAATAGGGAAAAATACTTAAAGCAGCAGAAAGAAGTCTAGACAAGGTAGAAACTGCAGTTCCCCAATCTTCCCGCCAGAGACAGTTTTATGAAGGAATTCATAGAGCGGAGGAGTTAGAGCCTGAAACGATTTGGGGGAAAGTTGTCAATCATCACCTGTTAATTTTAACTGCACTGGTGCGTGCTATGTACCAGATATTAGATTCAACACCTTTTATGCATTCCTTCCCATCTTTGCTACGATGCTGTGAACACAGCATTTCTATTTTAAGATAAGCACAGAGAGCTAGGATGAGCCATCTAAGGTCAGGGTAGGGCAGAGCTGGACCTAGAACCCTGGTGTCCGCACTGCTTTGGTTCTTTGCCACTTTACTCACTCTGAATAAGAGGGGAAATGGTGGAACAGAAAATATAACACAGGACCAAAGAGAAAGCAGAGGCATCCAGAAAAGGATGGAAATGAACCGTTGTTCTTTGGATTCTACAGATATTGAAGGAGATGTTACAAGGAATGGACTACGACAAGGATGGCTTTGTGTCTCTACAGGAGTGGGTCCATGGGGGTATGACCACCATCCCATTGCTGGTCCTCCTGGGAATGGATGACTCTGTAAGTCAGTAATCTTACCTTCAGTAGCTCTAGATTCCATAGTGTTGTTCCAGGCTTCCTGATGGGCAGCCATGCACTCCAGGCTGGCTCCAGGGTGCTCTATATTTTCATGCCCTTTCGCTTGTTCATGCCTAAGGTATATTCTCTCATCTGGAAAACCTTTGATGTACTGTTATTAAGCGATTCTTTTTGTGTGCACATGTAAGGGAACACCAAGCATTTGCCTGCAAAGACACATACTCCACCAGGCAAAGTGCAAAAGAAACTTAGAGAATCTCATGTTTTCGTCAAGTTAGGTTTTAAGATGCTAGGAGGAGGACCAGTAAGATGGCTCTGCCCATAAAGGCACCTGCCACCAAGCCTGATAACCTGAGTTCAATTTCCAGAACCCACGTGGTGAGAGAAAAGAATTAGCATCCTTGTCATCTGACCTCCACATGCCATGACACAAATGCTCCACCCCTCTGCCAATCAGTGTGTGCAATTTTAAAATCTAAAGGTAAAAGAATTGTCAAAGGAAGGAAGGGGGTGGGAGAATATGATCTTCTGTGATCTTCATGGTAGACTCTGGTTTAGCAATCAAAACAGATAAGGTAGGTCTTTTTATCCCAGTTTGTATAGAATGGAAAACTGAGGTTCTAAGCAGAAGTAGGTTTTGTACCTAGCTCCAAATTCCTCACACTTTCCAACACCCTACACTTTAGTCAGAGCAGTGAGAGAAAAATCTTGGAGGGTATTTGGCTTATTCCTAAAGAATAAGCAAGATTTTGAGGGGGGGGGGCTCACACATGCGCTCTGAGCACCCTGTAACTGTCTATATCTCCATCTTTTTTTACTTTTTATTTTTGAGTCAAAGTCTCACTCATTTGCACAGGCTGGCCTTGTAGCCAGACTTGCTCTGTAGCCCAGGCAGGTCTTGTTGCTTGAACTTGTGGTCCTTCTGATTCAGTGTCCAGAGTCGCTAGATTTATAGGTCTGCACACGGGGCCTGGCTTCGTAACACATTCTGGCTCTTGCGGTTATATATAAAGTGGCTGGAGGAGGAGTCCTCTGTGATTCTTGTTCTATCCCTTTCATTCTACAAATGGAGGTCAGCGGGGTAAAGACTGGCCAAAGGCACGCACCTAAGCAGAAGCTCAGCCGTGACACTCAGGTACATTGGGACCTTCGTGCAGTGACCTCTCCCTGAGCGGCTAGACATACAAGAAGCCATGTGAGCAAAAAGAAGTGATGTAGGCTGTTGTCTATGCTCACTTGGCACTGGAGCAAGACAGAAGCTCTACTTGGTTGCTGTCCTAACACACTGTTGTCCTTTGGATTTGTTCTTGTTGGGGGAAACAAAACCAGGACCTTTTAAGCACAAGGAACCAATTTCTATTCCTCCCTCCATTGGTTGTTCTAATGTCCAATGCACCCCAATATTTTGTACAGAAAAAGCCCACATTTCTGGAGGCAGCAGGTAAAGCCTGTTTTTTTCTTCAATATCCTTTCCAGTGTCCCCTTCAAACACCAAATCAGCCTTGAGTAAAACTAGAATTCACATCACAACCCATGGAAAGCAAAAAAAAAAAAAAAAAAAAAAAAAATCCTTAAAATCCTTATAAGTCTAAAAGTGTGTGTTAAATAAGTTTTTTAATGAGTAATATCTGGCCTCTAGAGAAAGCCCCACCAATGTCTTGAATGGCCTGCTGCTTTCTTGACATTTTCACTCACACATAGGATCACTGAGAATGCTAGGGCATTCAAATCATCTGTCTCCTTGTAAAATTGGAGCAATAGGGCAAAACCGGGCCAGAAACGAATGAACCACACGATGGCGATATAACCCAAGCAGAAGCTTGATTTGAGCCCCTCAGCCCATTTGCTTCTTAGAGCTGAGGGTTTAGGGGGGAGGAGAGGGAGGCTACAAGGCTTAGATAATAGAGATGCTTCCAGATAAAATGCTGGTTCTCTAGCTGGTAAATAGGTCCGCTGACAGGGCGCTAAGTTTCCTTCTGCCCAGGAAATCCTTGTAGAAGGTGGTGGGGAAAAATGCACACTGACTGCTGTCTCTCATTCTCCCTGTGGCACTGGCCTACTTACAGAATTCCTGAGACTGGTTTTGGGAGGTTATTTTTATCTGTATACTAGTAATAAACTTACCACTCTTCCGCTAGTTTCCTACCCCCTAGTATTCAGTACAGATTGGGATCTGGCAGTGGACTGTAATACATTTTATTATTATTATTAGCATCATTATAAGTCCTTGGGGCAGATATCTGCCAAAGGGATGAATAAATTGGACTTTCTTGTGAATTGCTTACTGAAGTGGAGACCCAACCTTAACTTGGTTTGTGGCTCAGGTCTTAAAGAGGGTTTTGAAGTAGTAAGAAGACAGAAGTTGAGGGAACAGATAAGAATTTAACCAAGATGGCTGGAGAGATGGCTCAGAGGTTAAGAGCACTGGCTGCTCTTCCAGAGGACCTGAGTTCAATTCCTAGCAACCACATGGTAGCTCCCAACCATCTATAATGAGATCTGGTGCCCTCTTCTGGACTGTAGGCATACATGCAGGCAGAACACTGAATAAATAAATAAATCTTTTAGAGAGAGGAGTGAGAGAGAGAGAGAGAGAGAGAGAGAGAGAGAGAGAGAGAGAGAGAGAGAGAAAGAATGTAGACTACAAGGACCACAATCTAGGCCCAGTGGCAGCGCTGGCCACAGCAAACAGAACAGAGGCATGGACACCCAGATGTAACGACTAGACTGCATACTCCTGACCACACATCCAAGGATAACTTTACAACCACAGTTTTCATTGCCCTTCAGACCACACCCAGTGCTGCTCATGATGTAATCCTGAGAAATCTTCAGCAGTCAAGATACCCACAAAGCCAGACTGAAGCCAGGAGGTTTACCAGGGACTGGAACATGGAGGAGCTGGCATGCCAGGGAAAATGTGACCATGTGAGACACTGCTCATACATGCCTGAGAATAGTTTTGCCCCTGAGCTACTCTGGAGAAAAACATTGGCTATCTCTATAGCTCTCACTTAGTATTGTTGTTGCTTTAGTTGTGTGTATTTATTTACATTGAGTGGGGCCTTCTACACACATGGCAGACTTGTAGAGGTCAGAGGATGACAGCCTTCAAGAGTTACCCTTTCTCTGCATTGTGTCGAAACTCAGGTTATCAAGTGCCTTTACCCACTGAGCTATCTCACCAGCTCTCACTTCAGAATTTTTCCTGTTCAAAGACAGTTGGTATAAGCACACACAAAGCGCGCACGCGAGCGCGTGCGTGCGTGCATGCGTGTGTGTGTGTGTGTGTGTGTGTGTGTGTGTGTGTGTGTGTGTGTGTGTGTGTGTATGTGTGTGTGTTTGTAGGTAAAATGCTCATACACATAGAATAAATCTAAAAAATTTTAAGTTGGTGCTAAATATATTATTAGCCAGGCGGTGGTGGCAGCACATGCATTTAGTCCCAGCACTTGGGAGACAGAGGCAGATCTCTGAGTTAGAGGCCAGCCTGGAATACAGAGTAAGTTCCAGGATAGCAGAGATACACAGAGAAACCCTGTCTAAAAAAAAAAAAAAGTATATTATTTTTACTAGGCCATTTGTTCTTATTTATAATGCTAGTCTATACTCACTAGAGAAATTTCAGAAAATGTGGAAGAAATAAGAAACTAGATGGGGGTGGGGGAGCCAAATACATTGCTTCCAGATATAGCTAACTTTGGTTAACAGGTGCATGAAACCTTTATCATTAAATATCTTTAAATATCTTTTATTTGTTTGACTGCTTGTTCGTTTTTTGAGACAGGGTCTCTCTAAATAGCCCTGGATCATCTGTTTTCTCAAAAGTTATCTCTTTAGACTAGAGTCCAAGGAGGGATACTGGCAACTCAAAGATTGCAATCATTAATGACTCTTCAGATAGACAGGTGAGATAGATAGATAGATAGATAGATAGATAGATAGATAGATAGATAGATAGATGCATATATACATACATGCATACATATGCAGATAGAGAGATAGGCAGGTAATCAGATAAGCAGGCAGGCAGGCAGATGATAGATATGTGGATACATACATACATACATATATATACATACATACATACATACATACATACATACATACACAGATAGAGAGATAGGCAGGTAGTCAGGTAAACAGGCAGGCAGGCAGGCAGGCAGGAAGATAGGCAGGTAGGCAGACAGACAGACAGATAATAGACAGACAGAGATAGATAGATAGATAGATAGACAGACAGACAGACAGACAGACAGACAGACAGACAGAAGGTAGATAAGCAGCTAAGTAGGCAGATCGACAGACATATCAGGTTGCTCTTCCAGTTATACTTTGGGCATCCAGGTAGAAGAGGGCTCATTTAGCTCCTCTCCTACTTCCATTCAGATGCTCTCTCCTTTTGCTTGTGCTAATTTTAGAAAACACACACTAAGAATTTGTTAATGAATGTGAGTAATTTATCTTCCAAGTTTGAGAACATTTCTTAAAGAAAATAAGCACCAGCGTGAGGCAGTCTCTGGCTTCTAGCAGGGTACCAGCTCCATGTCTCACCGCCGTTACCTCTACAGGGCTCCCAGGGGGACGGGAGGCATGCCTGGACCCTGAAGCATTTCAAGAAACCCACTTACTGCAACTTCTGCCACATCATGCTGATGGGTGTTCGGAAGCAAGGCCTGTGCTGCATTTGTGAGTACATGTCCTCCAAGCCTTTTCCCTCAGGCTCTGTTTGCTTTGCACACAGTGAGTTGATCCAATCCAGGGAAAGTCTAGGTGTTTGTTTCCCAGGTGGTGAGATCACCCCTAATGTTTCAACAACAAGGCCTCTGTGCCCTACTTTGTTGATGCTCTAGCTGAGTCAAATGGACAAGACGTTTGGTGCTGCTGGAGTCACAGACCATTGGTCTTCTAGAAAAAAGTATGAAAGTTCTTGCAGAAGTTAAAAGCACCTCGTGCTGATTTCAGTTGTGTTTCCAGTCAAAGTTCATTTCATGTGTGTTTAGAAGCGAATTTCTAGTTAGTTAAGAACATACTCTTTAGTCCCGAAGTGCAATGGAAAATAATATGTTTACTACATTTTGTAATCCATTAAGTAAAACTGGAGGGGAATGCAGAAAAATAATCACAAATGAGGGATTACAACAGGACTAAAAAGGTGAGCACAGAAAGGAATGGAGGGATAGGGAGAGGAAGAGATGATTTGGGGAAAGGGGACAAAGAGCAAGAGGAGATGAGGCTAAAACCAGGAGCTTCAGAGGGGACAGAGGAAGTGGGTACACTGAGCCCTGCTAGCCACCTCATGGCCAGATAGCAGACACCAACTGGACCTGAGGAGTGGGCGGGCTGAAGAACAGGTCCACCCATCTTTCCAGACCCACTCAAAGGTCATCTCATCAACATGATCTCCTTCCTGGTCAGTGTGAGACCTCTGGTCCTTGGCTATTTACAACAATGGCAAATTGTGGATGCCTAATCTGGCTGCCCACTTGATGCTTCACACAAATGTCTCACTTAATACTGCAAAATCTTAATACTGGAAAGAAAAAGACAAGCTACTCTGTGCACATCTACAAAGGATCCTGAATTTCTTCTCCCTCTTCCTCTCTCTCTCCCTCTCCCTCTCCTTCTCTCCCTCTCTCTCCAGAGTTTCTCTGTGTAGCTCTGGCTGTCCTGGAACTTGCTCTGTAGACCAGGCTGACTTCAAACTCACAGAGATCCACCTTTCTCTGCCTCCTGAGTGCTGGGATCAAAGGCGTGCGCCACCACTGCCCAGTTGATCCTGAATTTCCAAAGGGCAAAACTCAAGATACTATGGGTTGTGTCCAATAGCGTCCATCAGCCCAGTAGCCATGGCCTTTCTGTCCACTCACTGGCACCCTGACATACTATGCTGAGGCATATGTTTGGCACTGCTCTTCTGAGGTCACTTTTCTGCATGGTCACTGCCATCAGGGAAAGGTTGTGTGAAGAGATAGACATGCCAGAGAAAAACAGGGAGGTAGATGCAGGCTGCTCAGAGAACAACAGCGCAGTGTTAGATTTCTGCTAGGCCAGGCCAACGCCATATGTCTCTTTTCCTCACTGACCACCCAGAAGGAGAAACAAGCCTTCACTGAAGTATGTGCACCGGGAAAGGGCAGCTGGATCGTTCCTTGGTGGCATTCATGGCACTGTCCTTTTTTTTTTTCTTTTTTCCAGACTGTAAATATACTGTCCACCAACGCTGTGTTTCCAAAAACATTCCTGGATGTGTGAAAACATACTCCAAAGCCAAAAGGAGTGGCGAGGTTGGTGACACCTATTGGCTCTTTCTACTGCATGTTGCCTCGGGGACAACATGGCCATTATCACAGATTCCTATGCAGGAAGGGGCTTTGAGAAATTTCTCTAGTTCCTTCTCTGCCTCAAGGGCCACCACTCAGCCATCCCACTCATCCATCAATCCATTCAGCATCTCCCTGAGGCCCACTGCATGCCAGGTGCTATGCCAGGGCATCCACAGGCTATGAGAAATGCTATCCAATCCATTCAAATGCTGCCCAGGTTATGAAGACAGAGGACATGTGAGCATAGTGCAAATACCTAGTCGTGAGGTGTGTGCTGTCATCTATGGCCATGTGGGACATGCAACTGAGGCTGAAGGAACAAGTTTTGCAAAGGAGGTGGCACTTGCTTTGTTCTTGGAACCTGGGGAGCTTCACAGGGCATGGAAGAGGGCAGAGCATTGTAGCCGAAGGGAGCTCCCATGTGCGGGCCTGGAGACATGCCTGATTGTGGCCTGGACTTGGTTTGGAATATCTGGGTCAGAAGATGATTACAGGGGAGGACAAGGAGGTGTGTTCACAAGGTGATGAGGCCCTACCTGGAAGATGGTTTGGGAGACCAGCTCCAGAATTAGAAAGCAGTTGGGGGGGAGAAGCTTCAGACGTGAAGAGGTGAATTTGCTAAAGGCGTGACTCTTTCTGAGGTTGATACAGGAGAGAAGCTGGGGGAAGAGCATTTTCCCAGCAGTTATGGCAGAAGGTAGCATTGCTCCAAGGCAGAGCAGATTAGATCTGTTTCCATCCACCCTTTAAGGACTAGTTGTGTCTGAGTGTCCCCAACAGAGCCCACAAACAAAGGTAGAGAAGACAAAGGAAGGAAGGAGTGTGCCTTTCACTGCATGGCTCCGGGACTTGTGTGTGTGGTTGCAGGATGAGAGATGGCTCTCCTAGCCGTTGGGTGGTGCCATTTGCTGAGTCTGGAATTAGCTTACCTTTACAACTGGGGGGAGACCATCTGCATCACTGCAGAGGGAAGATATAGCTGAGGAATGAGAGATGGCCCAAAGGTGGGATGGCTCATAGCCCTCCCACAGAAGGCCTCCTTGGGGGAAGGCTCCTCAGAGGACTCCTCATATGCATGCCCCATGCATGACCTCTTGTCTCCTCTTTCCTCACCACTCCTCATACATACCCCTCCATGTCCATGCCTGACTTCCATCAGAACACACAGTGGGCTGTCTATGCCTGGGCCTTTGCCTGCACTCTAGTATCTGACACAGAGAAGAGGGTGTCAGTGCTGAGGGGCCAGGAGAGCACACCCACAACCCTGTGAGCCTGCAGGGACAACCCAAGTCTCTCACCACTTCTTCAGACAACAGACAGGCTGGGGCGGGGGTGGGGGGAGCAACACATGACTGGGACAACAACCCTGCGGCTTGAGTCAAAAGATCCAGCTGTGGGTTCCTTGTGTCACCAGCCTTAGAAACTAATGCCAGTTACTTAGCTCTCTGAAGTCTCAACTGTCCCTCTGGAAATGGAAACAGTAATCCCAGAGCATATTCACTGTGACCATGTAGATGACAAATTCACAAAGTGACTTCTTTGTACCCTCAGTGATGTAGCTGGAGGTGAGAATCGACAAGCCAAGTGTGGCACATCTTTTGGAGCAATACATTATAGCAAAAATTTTCCTGGGTGAATAGTGACACACAAGTGCTAAGTAATTTAAAACATGTACTCTTGTTTAATGCAAATAGGATAATGTCATGTAGACATTTTGCAAGTTTCTAATATAGTTTTTGAAGCTGAGGACTTCAAGATATGTCCCCTGCTTTTCACGTCTTTTCTCTTCTGTAGCGCAAGGCACCTTGGTGGAAAGTCCTGAGTTCTGTGGAACTCCAAGGGGAGAGATCTGAGTACAGAGGCTCCCAGGCAATGGGTCAGAGGTTCCCATTTTTGCGAGAGGCATGCTGGTGGTATTTCCCAGCCATGTAGTTGCTGCATCCAGATGGCCAGGAAATGGGTATGAAAAGGACCCTCTGGTACCCTGACTCATTGCCTTGAACTTTGTAACGTAGCTTCTTGTACATTGCTTTTCGGCTATCGTTATGTGTGATAAGCACTCAGGGCACTGTAATGTATGTGTATTTAAATCTCACAGGGACATTTAAATCAAATATCTGGGGCCCCAACCCCAGAGAGTCATTCATTTGGAGTGTGGACTGGGTGTTAGGACTTCTAAAGAATCCCCAGGTGATTGTAATAGACAGCTGGGGATGAGGAAAGGGGACCAAATTTACAAGAGAAGTGCAGCAGGGAAGATTTGCAAATGTGTTGTTTCATTGCATCCTCCCAGAATCCCAGCGGTGCCTCATGCTAGTAACTAAAGACTCAGAGAGGTTTCGGGAACCCCCCCCCCGAAAGGCACCCTGCTGTGAGGTGCCTAATGGGTGACTCCCATAGATTCGGCCTGCACCCCAGCCCGCTAGCTTCCCCTGCACCACACTGCCTCCCAGAAAAGAGGCCCCTTGAGGACCCGGATGGGATCGCCAGTGAGTTCTGCAAGGCAGAGGGATGGCAGGCGAGGTGTGAGAGGCTGGTACAGGCAAAGTGGGGAAGGATTTTAATCTGCTTTGTTTAGCACGGTGGCCAGGCAGGGAGGAACTCTGCATCCAAAAATCTTCCACTACTGAGGAAACAGGGCCCTCTGGCTCCTCGAGCCTCCCAGTTCTTTGTACCCTGGGCCCAGGGGCGTGGTTCCACTGCCTTCCCTGGTATCCTTCCCTTCCCTCCCGCAGGTGATGCAGCACGCGTGGGTGGAAGGGAACTCCTCCGTCAAGTGTGACCGGTGCCACAAAAGTATCAAGTGCTACCAGAGTGTCACCGCGCGGCATTGCGTGTGGTGCCGGATGACGGTGGGTTGGTGCCCAGGGCGGCCCTACTTCTTTTCAGTGTGGGATTTGTTCGAGCTATAGCCTGGGGCAGTGAACATCCCTCCAGAGGACAAGTGTAGAGCGAAGGAATAAGGCGAAGAGGGTGCCAGCGCCCCATTCGTGCCTCTCAGCCTCCAATGACTCCTCAAGTTGCCCAGAGAGAGGGTCTGTTGAAGAAGCTGGCCAACCTACCGCCTACATGACCGGCCTCTGGGAACAGCTCGTGAACTCTCCTTCACCTGAGGCTGGGATACCCGCAGACAGGAACAGGGATTAGGTGCAGCAAAGCTCACTCTCCACACATTAGAGTTAAAATTTGGCCCAAAGGCACATTCCTCTCAGCAGCACTCTGCCTGTCTTTGAGTCTATAGCTTTCTGAACATGACAGGTGCCACAGGGCTGCCCAGCCCGCATCCCAAAGCTAATTCTGGGCAGTGTCTTGTGCCCCCTGGCTAGGTACCAGCCCTAAAGAGGAGGCTCACCCAAGACAAACAAAGGGATTCTCACAGTGCAACAGGAGGCTCGCCCAAGCCAAAGGGACTCTCACAGTGCAACGGTTCAGTTAACTCTATACCCCAGGCTCCCACGGTTTTATTCTCAGAGGCAGCCTTCCTTCTGAGTGTCTAAACCAGTAATCCAGGGGCATGGGTGTAGAAGCCACACAAAGGGCCACACTTGGAGGGTAGCTCTTGGTCTCATTTCTATGACCTGGTAGAGTCATAGAACACCACATGTTCACACACACACTCAACAGTCCTGCCAAAGCCAACACTGGCAGTGCTCCAAGACTGGGGGGCACTAGACAGCTTGCTTGCTTCCCCAGAAAACCTCTGCACCCACCTTCCTGATGTTTCTTCTGTCACTTCTGCTCATCCTCGTCTCCATTTTTCCCTCCAGTTTCACCGCAAATGTGAATTATCAACGGTGTGTGATGGTGGGGAACTCAAAGACCACATTTTGCTGCCTACCGCCATTTGCCCCATCACCCGAGTAAGTGGTCCCACCCCCACCAGGGCTCTGGCTCTTCTAGGTCCAGGGGTCAGAGACAGGCAACAGCCACAACTTCACATTCCTCGGTGTTTCTCCAACAGTTCCTAGGGCTTATGCTTGGGTGAATGTTGAAAAGAAGCCAGTGCTGCCCCAGCCAGACTGAGCCAGAACACTCTGACACTGCAGCTTCCAACTGTTGCTCCCACATGTTCGGAGCATCCCTTCTGAGCATCTTTCAGGCAGAGCCCAGCTCAAGGGGCCACCTGCCCTTGGCCAGGTTTCTTGGCCTCCTTCATCCCTGTCAGGCTTTCTCCTGTGTTCACACATGCATCTGTTCTCTCTCAAGGGCTCCTGCCGGGGTGTCTCTGACATATTTGAAAACAAATGAAGATGAATTGGGCCCCCTTTACTCCCAGCTGAAACCTCTGCCTCCTGAAGAGGTTTCCATCTCTAAACTGTTGTCATTGACTCCTCCCCTCTCACCCCTGCCTGGAGCAGAGCTTCTTCCTCATTTAAAATCCTTTAAGAAAATCACCACTCTGCAAATCCATTTGTCAGTTCCCATTAAGTTAGAAATACACAAACTCCATACCCCCAAACCCACCTCCTGTGGAGAAATGCAAGCATTTATTACATCAAAAGACAAGGGCACAGCTATTCACAGCACAGGTGACTAAGCTGAGGTCATGTGATGAATCACTACGGTGTAATAGGAAAGGCAGACAGACCATGCAAAAGTGGAGATGCTCAAAAATAGAAAGCTAAACAAAACACAAAAGCTAGGTGCATGGGGCTAGAGAGAGGGCATGGCCATGAAGAGCACTGACTGTTCTTCCAGAAGTCCTGAGTTCAATTCCCAGCAACCACATGGTAGCTTGCAACCATCTATAATGAGATCTGGTACCCTCTTCTAGCATGCAAGCATGCATGCATGCAGAGCACTCAACCATAAAAATAAATAAATAGATAGATATACAAATAAATAAATAAAATAATAAAAAATTAGGTGCAGGCATGCTTTATTATTCTCTTGATAAAAAGTCTGAAGATCAGGTAAAGCCAGAGGCATATCACACACACACACACACACACACACACACACAGCC